GCGCTTCGCTCAAACAATAGTATCCTCTCTGTTGTTCGCACGGCCTGAGGTACGTAAATAATCCAGCACACTTTCCACTCTTACGTTTACCACACGGCTTCAACAAGCTGGGCACCATTAACGACGCTTATATGCAATGAAGATTACATTTTCTTTAAAAATTTGTATATATCTTTATGCATTTCTAAAAAAAAAAGGGACTTACAAATTATATTTATATGCCATTAAACATTTTCGACGACGCAATATATTTGTCTGATTAGCGACATCATAATGCATTTACATTTCCCACCCTGATCCGAAGCTACGCTCTTGAATTGATTCGTACAGTTACGCTAATGCTCTCGGAAGATTTATTATTGTTGAGTTGAGGTCTAGGTACTCGAATCTGCCGTGAAGAGATAGTCTCGACGTACCGAGTTCCCCGGCAGAAGAGAGTATCCGACCGAAAGATCTCCACGGACCGGCAGAGGACCGGGTTAGATACCGGCGCCCCGCTGGAGAGAGGCAAAGGGCTGTAGAGCAGGCGGAGGTATAGTTTTGATACGTTTAAGAGCAGTGGAGGAACTCCCTGACTCGAGTTGAGTATGTGGGGTCCTGTTGTCGCCCGATACCCTGGGAACGCGGCGGCGGAGGATCTCCAAAAGTTACGTACCGATTCACTAAGGAACGCTTTCGATTTGGTTTAAAGGGACGACTCGAGGGAAAGGATAAGAGTTATCGGCTGCAAGGATCTCGACCAATCAGAATGATTAGTTGTCGAATTTTACTAATAATTTCATTATTTAACTACGCCAAGTACAGGAGTGCTGTGTATTTCTCTAATAAAAAGTATTGATATCAGATTATTCAGGCCAAGTACATAAGTCACTACATGTTTGCCTATTATATGATTTAGCACTGGCCCATCATTTTAATTGTATTTTCAAAATTTCTTATAACGTTTTCACTACTCTTTTACATTACTACTGCTTCCCGTAGTTGACTATGATTTAATGGTCATTTAATAAATAATAAAACTGTAGATAAAAATTTCTTATAACGTTTTCACTACTCTTTTACATTACTACTTGTTCTTGTAGTTGATTATGATTTAATGGTTATTTAATAATTAATAAAACTTTAGCTGATTCCTTATCGAGTACTACTTGGCGGGTCAGTGCATTTCTTGATATAGATTTGCGCTCATTATGCCAGTCATTAAATTCAAAACCAATGTCAACTTTCTATATAGAGCATATTAACAATAACTCGTCAATAATAATCACGGTAAAACCTTAATAACAAACATATGGTATTAGAATACTATTAGTACGTTCAAAGTAAGTACTTTGGAATTCCTGGCACGGACCCGCCAAGTAGTACTCGATAAGGAATCAGCTAAAGTTTTATTAATTATTAAATAACCATTAAATCATAATCAACTACAAGAACAAGTAGTAATGTAAAAGAGTAGTGAAAACGTTATAAGAAATTTTGAAAATACAATTAAAATGATGGGCCAGTGCTAAATCATATAATAGGCAAACATGTAGTGACTTATGTACTTGGCCTCCATAATCTGATGTCAATACTTTTTATTAGAGGAATACACAGCACTCCTGTACTTGGCGTAGTTAAATAATGAAATTATTAGTAAAATTCGACAACTAATCATTCTGATTGGTCGAGATCCTTGCAGCCGATAACTCTTATCCTTTCCCTCGAGTCGTCCCTTTAAACCAAATCGAAAGCGTTCCTTAGTGAATCGGTACGTAACTTTTGGAGATCCTCCGCCGCCGCGTTCCCAGGGTATCGGGCGACAACAGGACCCCACATACTCAACTCGAGTCAGGGAGTTCCTCCACTGCTCTTAAACGTATCAAAACTATACCTCCGCCTGCTCTACAGCCCTTTGCCTCTCTCCAGCGGGGCGCCGGTATCTAACCCGGTCCTCTGCCGGTCCGTGGAGATCTTTCGGTCGGATACTCTCTTCTGCCGGGGAACTCGGTACGTCGAGACTATCTCTTCACGGCAGATTCGAGTACCTAGACCTCAACTCAACAATAATAAATCTTCCGAGAGCATTAGCGTAACTGTACGAATCAATTCAAGAGCGTAGCTTCGGATCAGGGTGGCAACTCAAAGGGAACCAGAAAGCAAGAACGTTATCTGAATCGGTAGTTGGAGTCGCCTTGTGACCCCGAGTCGAAAAATTACGTCACAGTTTACATATTAAGAAAAAAAAAAGCTAATTGTCAGTTTAATCCCGCATTAAGTATTCCTAGCGAACCTTATATGTATGCATCATGTCTCCGACCTCGTGTAATTTATGCCACGTAGTAAACGTTTTGCTCATATTTTTGGCCATACATTTTAAGTTCAGATATCGTTGAATATGAATGGGTTATCGAAAACTTATATCGCTATTGATCATTAAAGTTTTAGCATAGCTAACAAAAATAGATGTCCTAGCAAAGAAAGATGAGAAACTACTTTTGTAGAATAAAACTCAACTTATTTATTTCGATTCATATTATTAAACTGATGCTGTACTACATAAAGCAGATGGAAAACACTGACGTCTCTAGCAAGTCACGTATGGCTTTGCATAAAACATTTATTACAACGCATGTATATGTATGGTGTCGTATTGAAATATGTTTTTTATTTTTCTTCTTTAACACAAATTTTCCTGAATTAATTGAAACTCACCCGCGATTTGCGAAGAATTGCATTGTTTGCGAGGTGTAAAAAAACCATTGAACTTGTGGACCGATCATATATGTATGTATAAAGAGTATAAGTATGTTTGACACTCAAATAAGATCTAATGTATTGCTTGCTTAATTACTGAATATATCAGACTAAGAGAGTTCATAGAATTAAAAAAAATATTATTCTGAGTCAATCCAGATAAGCGCACTGAATATCTGAAATATAGAATTAAATGTATTTCACATAACTCGTTCAAAATATAATTTAGCAATTCACGTATAATATTTATATTTAATCGGCTCTCGTTTATATAAACAACAACAAAAAAGTTAGAAAAAGCGAAGTGACGAGATAAATCGGCGAAGTGATAAGGGCGCGCGTCATTGCGAGAACTGGGGTTAATAATGCACTTACAAATCGTTGTGATTATAATTCTAATATTTAATATGAACTGAGCAATTACAATGGAATTTCATAGGATTACGCCATAATAATCTTATTATGAATTGTTTAATGGAAATTCGCAATCACATGTGAATTACACGCTGCTACTGTAATTGAGCCCCTGGAAAGCAGAACGTCCTGAGCGCGCGAACCGACTTTGCCTAGCAGGTAAGAGAGGGGGTACGCGTTGCTACGCACGGCGTTAATCCGACACAAAATTTTAAAATCGCGATTAATCCGGTAATAATGGTCGTATCGAGTTGATTCTTGCGTAGAAATTTTCGTCAGTCTTTGTCGCTTCTAGCGAGTGTAGTACCATGGCGTATTTTTCGAAACTTCAAAGTACAAACAGCGCACGAAGTTTTCACAACTTGGGGCTCGAAAACGTCGCTGTAAATTTTTGTGTCGGATTAACGCGGTGCGTAGCAACGCGTATCCCCTCTCTTACCTGCTAGGCAAAGTCGGTCCGCACGATCAGGACGTTCTGCTTTTTAGGGGCTCAATTAAGAATGTAATCCAAAAAGTATATAAATTATTACGATCATTCAAGTAATCGCAACGACACGTATTTTTGGCATGCATATAACCTCATATCGATTAAAAGCATATAAACTACTATGAACTGCATAATTTGAAGTTAAACCACACTGAAACGTACACGATCATTAGAGAAATTTAATCGTATCCTGCTGATCCTCAACCTGCGGTTATTACGAACCGTTCAGGAAATATGTCTGTATTTTCAAGTAGCAAAGAGAACCGGAAGTTACGTGATCGAAGCGAACTGAATGAAAAAGTCTGAAAGACGTCGCGTCATAGCAACCCTTCAGGGAATATACTCGTGTATAATCGTAGGGGATGATTAAAAGTCTTGACGAGGGGTTAGTATAGGCTTTCTCAATAACTAAGGAGTATAGAGCGCTTTTCTTACTAGATTTGAGAATTTCAATTTCCACTGCGAATCCGTGTACGATGGGAAATGATTCAGGATTTCGTGTTTGTGATAGCTGTTGGCAGTGTCAGCCAGCTACGCGAAGTTACATAACATACAAATAGTATGTGGATGAGTGAAGTGTGAGAAAGGGTTGACGGGGGGGGGACTGACAGGGTAGCTAGACCCGAAAGAGCGTTTGGTGCCGGAACTCAGGATATTTACAAGGGAGAACGAAGTCTGGCTGTGCCGGAACTAAAGCAGGATAGTTCGCTGGGAGACTGGTAATCCAGAGAGTTACTAAAGGGTTGGTAGCCCAAAATGGTTGGTATTGGGGGTAGAAAGCAGATAGCATAATGTATGCAATTGGGACAGTCTTGTATGCACTGGACCTCTTGTTGAACACTGTTTCAGCAGCTAACTGGACTCACATTGCGTGCATTCTATATGGATATGAGGTATTATAGGTTATTTAGTTTGCATCTGTACTCAAAGGATGGCGCTAGTAGTTCAGCATCTGATTCACAATTACGAAAATTTACCTTCACTAGGAATATCGTGTGTAATAAGGGAAGCTAGAGATTATACCTTGATGATTCTGTCAAAGATCTAATCGTTGGTGAACAGCTGAGGATTTTCAAGATGTGATTTTATAGGTTCGGAAACACGTTTAATATTCGATCAAGGCGCTGTTTGTTGTTATGTAGCATTTCGAAATATCAATCAGTTAATAAATATTAGTTATGCCTATGGCAGTGAAGTATAATTTGATTGTGGTTTAGTATTGATTAATTTACCTTTTGGTAGTTCGAGGCCAAGAGTAAGTACTTTCGATCGGCTGATATTTGATGTTGAAAACTTGAAGCCAGAGCCTGCGAAGCAGAAGAAAAATAATATCAAATTATGTTTAGAAATACGAATGGACTCTTTTGGTTTTGTGTGGGTATACGGATGTCTTTGACATTCGACATTTCAAAATAATGTGATAAAAAATGTCGGATGAATCATCGAATTTTTTAAACTAAACTTCTGTGTCATTTGCCTGGATGAGGTATGCAGATGCTGGAGAAACAGTACACCGTATCACCGTGAATCGAGTCAGCGTTGGGCAAATGCTTGAACTAAGCACTGGGCCAACCTATCTGGACGATGTCGGCCCAATGCTGTATCATTTTTCGTTGAAATGCCGTAGCCAGTATCCTATATGATAGACGACATTTTCCTATGAGGTTGTGTTTATATCGTGAAGTTAAGAATGTTGACTTCGCATTCCAGCAAGTTACGAGTAAAGAAGCACCGTTTTTCGAAGAAATTGGAAGCAGATGTAAGCACGCTAAGCTAGCAGTAAAATCAGTTAATAAAAAAAACAATTTATCTTCTGTATATACATATGTATATACTTCTATAGAGTTCTATATTTATTTCTTCTATCCTTATTCGATCCTTCTTAGCTTGGCTGTGTGGAATTCTTGTGGAATATTGAAAGCCCTCACAAATACTGGTTTGCAGTTTGACTCGTATAGCGAGCCATTACTGATTCAATACTGGCATAGTATATTGAATCAGTACTCGTATACAATCTGTGCCCAATGCTGGGCTACCGTCGACATCGGGCGCTGGATCGGAGTTAATATGCCGGTGCCGATAGAACGCTGCGTCGACCCTGGCAGAAAGCATCGGACCAAGAACCCCAAGTGTGGCACCCAGGACTAGTCTAACGTTTTGTGTGGCAGGGAGGGGGGGTGGCACTGGCGCAGAGACCAATTGGACGCAAATGACTTTTTACTGCAAATTCTGTCCAGTTTTAAATAGATCGAATAGAATTAGATACGAACGATGTCTTATTGTGGTATATTGTATGTAGTTTTACATTAGTTTACGTTAGATTTGGTTAGGTAAGGTTAGGATAGGGTGGAATGTTCCAATTTCAAAGACTGGGAAGGCTAGTGGATAAGTATATCGTCTGAAGGAAGTATTAAATGTTTGAAGAGATTCCGCCAGATAAGGATGACTAACAATATCGTTGAATTATTGATGGAATATCCCTCAGGAGACAGAAATTCGCATTTGTGTCCAATTGCGAATGGGTTTGTGCGCAGCTGGGCATCACCCACGATTCGCCAGTCGTCGGACTCCACCTGGGCCCGTCACGAAATGTAATAGACATCTTCAGACTATTGGTCAACAGTTTTGAATGGTGTCAGTAGAAATCTGCAGGATGGCAGTACCGTCAACAATTACCCCATTAGCAGTAATTGGCTGCGACGTTAGCCGTTATAAAATCAACGTCGTTTATGCAAAGTCGAAACAACGCGAGACGGTCGTTCTGGGTCGTTAACGGAGGCGAACTGCGATGGTCCCAGTTTAAAGTTAACTAAACTGTACCGTAACACGCGGCGATTCCGATGCCGACGACTAACTACGGTTATTGTTTTAACGCACCAAGTTTTCCCGTAAATGTCAAGTGACTCACCATTACTATTGGTGAGAGAACGTCTCGTGACTCCCTAATATTTTAGGACTAAGATTCGGTTTTTCGAGGGCAATACGTGGCTGAAGAACTTTTTAATCAGCATGTGCAAATAATAATTGCAAATTGTATACAATTTTGGAATGTTTTATACCAATTTACAAGTCGATGCAACGTTTCATGAAGGCGGAAAAAAAATCAATTTTATCGCGACGGCTGAGAAAATTCAATTATCATTCTCGAGTTCTATTCTAAAATTTCTAAACATTTGAACGTGCTATTTTTTGTATGGATGGGCCATAGGAGTTTTACTGCTTTCGCGCGATAAATAAAGAGATATAAGAACGTTCTCGCTGGACATACCTGGCGTACTAAATTCCTTCGAATAAATCGTCTCTTCCTTGGGTCTTGTGCTATTCTTTTCGTTCTTTTTGCCTCCTCCTTTTTTTTTATTCGCAGCGAATTTAAAGGACATCGCACGCTCGCGAAAACGTGCTTCTGCTTGGTGGAAATAGTTTGCCATTATATTACCGAGTGGCGTTACAAGAAACAAGCTCGTCCGAGCTTTCGTGGATTAGACTGGAATCCGTTAGAAAGATATACCGCGCTCACGACTTTTTTGTCTCGCAAAGGGCAAAAAAAGGACGCCAATTGTGGTTCGCCCTTAACAAGCCCCTATCCCTCTTATACTTCCGCGCCATCTACGAAATTAGTATTCGGCTAAGTTTTTTTGTCACTGTGTCCCTGCCACAAATTTGCCCCACGTTTTTTTTCGTTTTTCAGAGACTCTTGAAATACATTAGTCAGCGAGTCACGTGTACTTACCGAATTAGTGGTTTCCAAAACGATCGTCGACGAATTCGAAGTCACGTTATGGATTTTTAAATTTCGGCTTTCGTCCATGTACAGGATTTCTTCATCTGCAACATAAGAGCGACGAATTTAAAATATGACAATCACCAAATAAAAATTAGTCAAAAGTAGAGATATTAATATAATATATTCAGAAATAATGCGATCGGAGTCAAATATATTTTGTAGGGGTCATCCACCTACGCGTTTCAATGAAAAAGAGTCCCCTAGATCTCACACTTGCTTGTGCATGAAATAGTACACACTATTACACTTCAAAATGGGATAATTCACGCGATAATTAATAACTAATTTTAAAAACACTAATTTTAAATCCATTTGTATCTCCTAATGCAACAAAAACCTCAAACAGTTGACATCACAAGTGTACTCGGAAAATCAGGTAATGAACTAATATTGTCCACACTAGAGACTAATGTGATCGATTGAACAAGCGAGGTTTAACGCATCAAAGCGTCATCATCACGGGGATAACCGAATGTCCCAGTGCACCCCCCACCCCCCCACCGTCCCCCACTCAAGGTCCAACCTTCACCACCGCACCTTGGGGAAATATTAACCCTCAAAATTGGATTTATATGCAAATACGAACGACGTGGCGGAATCGCATAGCCAACATGCGAGCTTTCCGGATATTAACACGTTACACCAGTTAGTATACACGTGTAGTTACGTCATTGGTTGACGGCCTCTAAAACCGGAAACTGGAGCAGTTTAAACATTCCTAGATACAAATAGAGTATAATGCATATTGCCGGTGGTTGCACAGTATTTGACTGAACACTGTAAATACATACCTGCTACAGTACCCCTTCACGTTTATTGGCATTACATGTGTGCACAGTTACACATTACATGTGTCCATGTACATGTTACATTTAATACGTCACATTTCAAAATCTTATTTTCCTCATTTGCCTGTTTTTTAAAATTTTTTACTCATTTCACAAACATACTCCTACGTAAAATGCACAGTAGTGTTTTTCTGCAAAAGCACAGACGAGTATTTCTATTCGTTACCTACTTCATCTGGAAGTGTGTACATTAAAAGTACAATAATGCTTGGTTGCAATGTGTTCCAAATGTCTGACCACTCGCCATGTATACTCCACTAGTTTGGTACTCCGCTTCAAAGAATGTCCCACGTGCCCATCCAGTAGGGAAACTCTCATTAAGTGGGGCATAACGTTGGCGCAAGCGATGGCTGCCATTACCATTTCCAGCAACGTGGTTACTCATTACGGCCATCGGCCACCGCCTCTATCGCCATGCGCACGGACGTCGTCGTATTTATCGTGGTAAGAAGGAACTTGGAAACTGGTATTATGGAAATTGAATGTATAATTCTTGTTTATAAAAATGAATGTATTTCTTATACTTTTTTCCTCATAAGTTCCTTTTCTTTCCTCTCCTCTAATGTCCTATGTTATTTATTGTATTATCTTATGTTATTACTTACTACATTAAGCTACGTTTATACCGTGCAATTTATGTTGCGTTAATGATCCATTCTACAATTAGGATATATTTATTCATTTTTGAAACTGTATCCACGTACATATGTGTATGATAATTTTAAACGTAAAGTACATATATTAAGTTACCGAGAATTTTTTATACAATATGTTTGAAATAAATTAAAAATCGTTTAATACACGTAAATGCGCATTTGCATGTCAGTAACTTGTGTCATGGACATGTTGAAGTGTTTATCGATAAATAGTCGTGCATGTGTAAATAATAGCGAATTATATGTATAATAAAATAAATACGGCACGTATTCCTGCAGAATCACTAAATAAAATTAACTGTCATCAATAAAATGCATTGCTTCTGTTTCGGACGTATTTAAGTATATTAATGGGACGAGTTTGTTTAACAGACGTAACGACAAAAACAGATCGACAAGGTATTACGGCAAAATTGGTTTCCGCTATCGACCTATACACCATGTTCGTACATAGTTGTAAACAAGTGCAGTAATTGGTTTCCTTTGGGACAGTGTGCGTAGAAATGAAATTAATGAACCACATGTCCGATTTAAAGATTTTAATCGAGATCGAACGTTCTCTCAGTGAGAAAGTAGAAGTTTCTGGCTGGAATGTGTTTGGCCGGTGCCAAAACCAATTAATTTCCCGGTGCAACGCTGGAAATAAATCGACTAGTTTATCGTCAACGAGTCGAACGAGCGGCCCCACACTTTCAGTCAACAGTAAAGATTGTACTGGGTGCAGTGCGTGACACGTCTGTATCAGTAGTAGGTAGTGCTGATAGTGGTGCAGTAGTTTGCCAGATAGTATACAAAAAAAAATGACTCGCTAGAAAATCCCTATAAATCGCATGCGCGTGTTACATCACCTACGAAGTTTCCTGCACACAGTATACCTCTATATACGTGCATCTAGGTGTGAGTGCGCGCGCGCGCGCATGTCCAAAATATGCATATGCATGACTATGCGCCGCCAGTCGCTGGAGAAATGACAAAATCGAAAGCGGAAACGGATGGGCGCCACTAAAAAAGTATGGGAAAAAAAACACGAGATCCGATAAATCATGCATAACGTGCTTTCGTGTAAAGTGCGTATTTCATGTGATTTCCTATTTAACTGACGTTCCTGTAGCCTATTTTTACAGCGATTTTTGTTCTCTATACCCCTGCCTCTCGCTTTACAGCTGTATGTATTTAGACGGAGAAATGTCGAAAAGTCATTTTACATTTCTTTCTTCTTTTACTTAGTGATTTTACTCTATGCCTCGTTCGTAAGTTAAAACTTTAATTTTTGCTTTCTTTATTAATATATTTTTGAAATATTCTTTTATATATGTCTTCTTTTTTCTGTTTTCCCCCCCGTGTCTTATTGACGCACGCCAAGAATGCAAGTACGTATCACGTATTCTACATTTGAGTAGGAGATTTGAGAAATTGACAACAGCGACATCTTGTGGTTGCGCACAAAACCTCCGCACTAGGAACATCAAATATTCTATCGCGAATTGTCGTTCGGCAATTGCCCTCGTTAAGGAGGATAAATTAAAAGAAAGCACAAAGTTAAAAAAAGAATTGATGTTCTATTAGCATCACTAGATTAGAGACCAGCCAGAAGGTAGTTACTGAAGAAATAATCATGTGTCTTACGGCACCGCAAATCCATGATATATTGTTGAGGAATGAGATAAGCACGAAAATCCAGGTAGATGCAGATAGACGACACATCCATATAGATACGCATGTATACGCGACCCAATATAAATACCCAACCATAGTCGAAATGGAATGGTGAGGTTAGTCGCAGGCCTGGACTAACTTACCCGGAAGATAGTCCTTAGGGACATTTGGGTTGATTCCTCCATTTTTTGTGTGGTCTGTCAAGTGGCAGTTTGTAGAGATTTGATAACATAAGTTCATCAAACTTCATCCTCTGAGTAGTTTCATCATATAGTTAAGTTAATTTATATAGTCGGTTCGTGAGTTCAATGTGCTTTTTTTTCAACAAATTCAAAACAATGAAACCTCTAACAAGCCACACGTGATCCTGCACACAATATTTGTTATTAAGTATGCACGTGCGTGGTTTTGAACTGAAATATATTTTGTTTTTCTATGTTAGCATTTATTTGACTTTATAGAAAGCCACGTGTCGTTTGCGCTGTTTGCACACTGTCAAACAAAAATAGATTCAACTCAAGGACCGACTACAAGTATACCTGTATCCTACTATTACGTCAGTGTATTGAGATACTAACTGATGAACAGGTCCAGATATAATTTTTTGAAAAATCGTCAAATTTATGTTTCGATTACTGGTTCAGGATGAGACTGTTCAGGTGGTAGCAAACAAAACTTTTGTTCCAGGAATGACAACTTGAATTTGAGTATAGTTTAGAAAGAAAACAATATTACTCGTGACATGATTATCGTTTTGTTTTTTTACTGTAGGTATTACGTAAAAAAAATAATAAAAGAAATGACAATTGGCTTTCGTTGGAAAGTCTCTTATGTTGCATAATATTCCCTTTGCTTCAAAACTGTTCGTTCTCAGCCATCATCTACCAACAAGGTTCTTGGCTGACCTATTAGTATATTATATTATACTACTACTACTACCATTGCCATTATTGCTGCTACTACTGTTACTACTACCACTACTACTACTACTGCGCCTGAAGTAAATCACTAGCCTATTAAAGGGTGGGGGCTATTACTCTACTACTAATAAGTATTAGTATTAGTAGAGGAGGCAGCAAATGAGCAGACCTTTGTCAATTACTGAAGTTGTCTCCATAGATGATCTTACTAGCCCCTCCTGCTTGTTTTTGCTATCTAAGAATGTTCAAGGGTAGATATCATTGGGATAGCATCTGGTAACAAGGGGTGGATGATACTCTTGAGTAATTTGGAAAATGACTTCAATGTTAAACTATTATAGTAACTCTGAAATATATCCCATCCCTTAATCTTAAAAGTTGAGTCAATCATGAGACAGGTACGGCAAAAAGGTCCAATAGAATTTTGAATAAATTTTGAGTGAAATAATAAATTGGGGGAAGCTAGTACAAATGTCCATAAAATCTTCTGCCCCAAAATTGTTTCAACCAGTATATCAACTACGGCCCATTTTCATTATGTTATTGCGAACTATAAAGTATTAAGGGGAGACTGGGTCCAAGTCAGTTTTTGTAACATTGAATAATAGCATTTTGTAAATATTTGAACGAGTCTCTGCCGTTATATGAATTTCGTATAGTCAAAAGTAAATGGCCGGTCTGATGAGCGGCCTTGTCCATATACCGAGTGGCCAATATATTGCCTATGCAGGAGGTTTATCGGTAAACGCATATGGAACCAAACCGCGCACTGAGTTACCTCAATTAGGTAGAGTAGATGGTGGTTGCGGTTCGGCCTAGCGTGAAACTCTCATCAACTACCATAATTACCTCCATATACGGACCCTAGAATCCGACGGTCACCCCATCTCTTTGCAAGCTCCCTCCCGCCCCTCTTCGTATACCTGCTAGGAGAAACAAGTACGTCCCCTTTTATCGTAAAAGTCCCTAATTGCCAGAATTACGAAATTCCTACTTATAATTTCTCTTGAAAAGTGACCAATGGGGACTAACCAGCATCTGCCTTGACTTCATGTAATCAAACCTAACCTGACCTAACTTAACGCTTAAAGCAATTGTCAGCTAACCTAGTCAAGTCTAGCCTAACCTAAACCAATCCAACGTATTATAGCCCCAACCGTACCTCGAGTTATGGATGCTTCCAATCAGTCCACGTAATTGTACATATTAATTTTAATGACTATGCATATTAATCGATTAATTTACATGTTTAGATGCGAATACTTGAGGTAATTGGGAGGATTTTTACGAGATATAAGGGTGAATGACACTTGACAAAAGTATCAATGGATTATTAGGTTAAATCATTTTTAGATTATTTTAAGCGAATCCTATTTCTGCATTGTGTCAGTCGATTTTTAATGGAAAATAACGTTGGTTACTGCCACAAATGATAAACGAAAAATGGCGCGTGAATTTACAACTTTTATAACACTTTTTCGCTGTTCCTGTTTCGCTGTTCCATTAAGCACGTGCCTTCGTATGCTATAAAAGTTTTGATATCTTTCCTCAAATGCTGCACTTACTATAAGTTACGTCAATTTATACAAATTTTATACCTTCAATTTCTATGGCATCAAAATTCTCACTATTTTTTCCGATAAATACTAACTTCATAATATTCAAATGTAGAATCTGAAGTTAATTAACTTACGACGTAAAAATCAAAAAGGGAAAAAGCAAATTCCAAAAAACACACATTGATTACGGTAAAACATGATATCAAAATGCGTTAGGTAATTAAAAAATTTGTTTAAAAGCCATGTGAAAGCAGTCAACAATGCGATCATTAAGAATTGTATTAAAAATTAATAAATTATCCGTGAGCTTGATTTACGTTTCATTTTCTTTTATTTTGTCGTGAAAAGAGATTACTAATTTTAAAATATGCATAAAATTCGTTAAAAAACAAACGACACAGCCTGTACCCACAGCGTATACGTGTAAAAAATATTTACCATGTTTTACCTTTGAGCTGTACGAGAAATGCTAGCGGTGCAGCCACTAACACAAAATACACAAAGCTTTGCGTCGAGTCACGTTTGTTTTTACGTTAGTTCAGCGATGTCCGACACTATGCACCTAGACTAAGCTGCTGGTCGGCCGACATGCGTTTATAAATTTACGGATACAATACCTTCATTTTTTATCATTTTTCAAGATATTCATAAAAATTATAATAAACCATACTACATACGATACTATACTATATACGATATTTATTTAACGAACGTCAGTACTTACCACTGAGCCACGTGCCATTGAAGCTATTGGTGGATAATGAGCCACTTAACCACTCTTCGAGTGTAAGACCGTCTTTTACAGGAGTCTGCTTGTCAGCTGATTCTGAATGTCCGACAAGGTAAATTATTGCCGTGATGACCAGGGCGAGTATGACGAGTCCAACAACAGCGCCAGCCAGTATACGTCGCCAGCTGCGTCTTTTGTTCTTTGTCATGAGTTCCTGTGAACATAGAAATTCGAGAAAAACAATAAATATGGAATCATAAGTAAACTTAGCAAATAGTACTAAGAAGCTTTTTTTGCGCGGTAACGTTTTAGTACGTTATGAAGTCAGGTTCGTACCTGGTATTTGACAAAGTATGGGGAATAAAGGAAATAGGGGTTCCTTTTTTGTCATGGTAATTTACACTTCGTCGATTTAAATTTCAGTTGTTGTAACGACAATGCAACCCTCCCTCTCGACCCTGCACTTACGAAGTAGCTAAGGACATCGTTACGTAGCAAAATTTCATGAGGGTTGATTGAATTTCTTGCTCGGTGTGAAATCCGCCATCTTCTTAATCGGAATACCCTGTCCACTATAATGTAAGTTCAGCTGTTCTTTGTCTTGTTGCGACATGGCAAAACCGTCTCTGTATACGAGCCTTTAACTCGTGGTAAAGATTTTGCAAGCACCAAGGGTGAATGAACTTGTGTGGCAATGCTAAAGTAAAATTGAAATTCGTACTTCCCAACAATTTGAATCGGTGGGGATGAATGTAAAGGAAGGAAAAGTCGACTACTGTAACCTAGCTACCAACCCTTTATATTCAGTTGGCGAGAACCCCTAGGCGATATATCCTATATTTATAAATCTTCGTTATCGAAATTAGATTTGATCTGTCTAGTCGTCCTACCGTTTATCGGGCGCCTGTAGAGAATGAAAAATTACCAAACGATACTCCAGTGTGTATTCCTTTAATTTTATTTTGCGAGAAAAGAAATCTGCACGGAGAGAATTTTTCGTTACTTTTTTCGTCATTTGAAAAACATAAAATGTCACAATGATTTTTATGGTTGACTTCAGAGGTACGAAAGTAATGCACTCCACGGTAAAATTGAATGTAATGCACGAAATAATTCGGCTGTTTTAGGTGACTTTTTAAATTTAACGTGGTTGAAGCTGTAGTTTTACAATAGACATTTTCAAGTTCAGAAATTTTTATTATATACTTCGGTAAAAGCTGACGTGTCATGCTTACTTTTTAGTATACTTTTGTGAGCTGCTCTTAAATATATGTATAGGTAATATGTAACATGTTATAAAATACTATGATGTTCCCCGTGCATACTGTGATTTTTACGGTAATTTTTAATGAAAAATTCTCTCCATGTACCGATCAATACTACAAACATCTCTTATACCAATGGGGCGGTTTTATTTTTCTGTTCTTTTTATATTTTATACTGATAGAGTCTTACAAGGATAGGCGTCACTGTCGGATAAAAATTATCTTCCTGTATTGATTTTCACTGCAGTATATGACAGAATAAAAAATGATACGAGATTCTTGGAAATTTAAAAATGACCATTTTCATTCGCGCCCTTTCTCAATTTCAGTCAATTTAAAACATCCCCTAGACCTGACATCGGGCTCATCAGTAATCATTTAGTTCAATATCTGCATATACTACATACTAACCGTATCGCGAGGGTAAGTTTGACCACGATGAAAATTGTCAATGCGAGGCATTATTTAACCCTCGTTTTTCGCTAGTCTGTAAAACATCACAAAGATTCAACCCTGTTGGCCACTCAATTTTCATTAAAATTATTTTCGGAGTAATTGTCTACCATGATGATATTTTATTAGTAACCCGTTTTTTTTTATATTAAACGATATTCTCAAGGGTAAAGATTAAAATGTGTAAAATAAAAAGGGTTACAGATTTTTTCTTAAGTCATAACAAAATTTTGTCGAAGTTACTACTCCCTCGAATGAAACGTCAATCATGATCAAACGTTAAGAGGACTTTTTTCTTTTAGCTATCCCGTCCAGTAAACATATTATAGTAATATAAACACAAAATATTCATGTCAAATTTTACATCCTATATGATCACGATATACAAAAATTATTGTAATTATAAGATGTAGTATAGCTCAATATACTGTGAAAAAATGTGAAGAAAAAAGTTCAATTGATAGATAGAAGTGAAAGGGCAGCAATGCTATTGACATAGTCACCCTAAGTTAACATCAAGTTGCCCGTAGGGCGGTGTTCATCTTACAGAAGTTGACGGGGCGGTGCCCAGTGCTCGCGAAATTCCCCTGCGTACTATTTCCGGTCCTGGAAACCATTCTACTGCCTGCTTCCACATAACTTAGGTACAAAGTACTAATGGTGGATAGTTTATTACTTAGCTTCCTACAAGGGCTGCCCAGTGGAGGGTTAGGGGTCTGAGGTCAGGGCTGCAGATTAGACGATTAGATTGCTTGGTATATATTCTTTTAATACTTTCTATTTTACGGCAATTGTACACTCGACGTGTCTCTTGTTTTTGACATTGAGGAGTAAAGTTGATTAAAAAAATTGCACAGACTGAAATTTTAAGTGTAATGATATTTGTTTACTAGACGCAGATGATTCGATCAAAAATTAAAGGAAAGTTTAATATGTCATCTATGTGTCAACGAAGTTTGAAGTTTGGATCCATCAAAAAATATTACCGTAAGAGGTGACAGAAATTTTATGGCCAATAATTTTTCGTAATTGACGTGTAACGAAAAAATAATAAAAAGATCGTTGAAAATTATTTTAAGAAAAATATTGATTACGTCTAAGATATCATATATTCAAAAATAATATTCCACAACTTTATAAAAAATATTTGCTCCTATCTACAAAATGAAAGATTGCTCAAGTATTCAATTCTTTCGAGACACCCTGTACATTTCCATGCAGCCTCAACACGGGGTATCTTTCTAACGACCCCTACTATTTTACCAACACACCCCTCGTTGGTCTTCCAACTTTTTATTATCACCAAATTGCTCATTAACCCACGAGAAAGTTTAATGAGAAATACTGACCGATTTTACGCGGAGAATACAAAAAAACGTATACGTCGAATACCTAAATAATTGCAAAACATATAATAGACTCATAGAATCTATAATCGAAATCAAAGTCTCGAAGGATTGTAATAACATTTCGAAAAATATTGTTCGTCCTCCTGAAAAGCACTACCGATGCAATGACAATTTAACCTAATCAGTAAATTGGTAAAGACAAGTTCATCTGAAATTTGTATATAATGCGACAAGAGTAAAAGTAATATTGCAACCAAGTACGGAGTACGTTCGTTGTATTTATAGTTTCCACGAATTTTTCACATTTTAATAGATATCGGTTTCTGTATTTTTTCTTTTTACTAAAAACTGTAATACCCCATGATCTGATTACCAATTTAAAGTGACCTACGAATTTTGCATCATAGTTAATAGGTAAATGCATTACGAAAGCGAAAACTGAAAGTACTGTTGACAACCGCCCCCACAAACCTCTCGAAAAACCCATTACGGATTGGAGCGCTTAATTCGAGTCAGAGAAACTTTAATAAGGGTGCCAATTAGTCATTAAAGCTTGGCGTTAAGAGAGAAAAAAAGGAGTTGGATCTTGATAGAGTGGTGAAAAGTCAAAGAGGAAAGAAATTAGAGGGGAAAAAAAGAGAAAAAGAAATGCCTCAATCAAGACTGCAGACGGTAAGAAGTTTTCATTCGTTTAAAATTCGCGCATCACAAGGAAACGTTTACTTTCATCATTTTATGGTTGCGAGACCAAAAATTCCCTGCGTGATCTCTTATGATATAACGGCAAGATAAGTCCGAATTGAACAGGGCATAGCTAGCCTGGGTCACAGTGATGTATTTTAATAGAAATCATAAAACCTTTTAAAGTACCACGGTTGTGGATTAAGGTACTAAAAAGTGGACGAGTCGTCAAAAATAATCACAACAAAACAACGTGGTTAAACATTTTGATAGCCGATAATTTTTACAGATTTTGCAAAACCATAATTAAGTAAACAATCATTTTCTTCGCTATTCCACATTGCACATATTTTATATATAAGTCCTCAAATTGAGTTAGCTAATAAATAAATGCTAAATATATCGTACATTAGTATGGTCTAGATTCTGACCATACATGCAGTAGCTGAGTGCTGAATGAAATCCCAAATTTCAAAACGAATTTTTTACTAGGTGTCAATTGTATATGTATGTTGTCTTTCTTGCACCCTATCAATTCATACAAGCACGGAAGTACAAACAAGCATACGATTGGTCGATGACACATACTGTTCGAAAAAAATAAATAAAAAATGAAAGAAAGAACGACATCAAAGACAAGTATGAAGAAAAATCAGTACGGCCAACCTCAGCAACCTTACTGACCTGCAGGTGAGTTAACCGCAAACAACTACGTACATAATATGTGTATACATAGCCAAGGTGGTATAAACACAGCATACATAGGCAGTAGCAGTAACAGCAGCAACGCCATCTCGTATAATGAGCTTTATGAGTCGTAAATTACTGTGTATTTACCAGCGCGGCGTTCGAAAGAGTGCGCATGCGCGCGGCCATTTTAATATAATTTGTAACGACACCAAAGACGACCTGGCCAGGATTATCCTGAGAATTATCTCCACGGCTGCAAAACTGGACTAACAGCACTCGACCCATTTTCTCGACTTCAGTCGAATGTAAACAGAAAAAATAAAAATAAATCTCGGCCTTCGTGTCAACTTTCTCTCTGTTTCTATTTTTTCACTTTTTTTGTGACCTTTCAGCTTTTCCGTTTTTCATATCATAACAATTGCATAATTAATTCGATACTTATTGTTTGTCTTTGCTGTGTTTCCAATTATCACGTGGCTATATTAATACTTACATTCTATAGGTAAGCGGACTGTAGACCTTTAAGAATTTCTGTTATTTTGCTCTTGTTTATCAACAAGAGTGTTTGCCACCTCGCTTTAAGAAAGGTACAACGAGTTAAGTAAAAGTGTCATTGTCTAAAAGACGAAAATTCTTACGAAAGACATAGTTGACACTTATACAGATACCTGCTGTAAAAAGGGAAACTTGAAGACCGTTATACATAATTTACATGACGCTATCTGTCCCCGTTTTTTCCACTTACGTCAGGAATGATAATAATAATAAAAGTAAAA